TTGCAGTCTATTATTTGCGATAGTGACGGTTGAATTTAATTTTAAAATGCATTAAAACATATTACTTTTATTACAATCGTAGAGCAGAGATAGGAATGCTATCTTGCTGAAAGTAATATTAAACATAAAATTTACCGGATTTCACATGGCCATTACTTTACTTAAAAAAAATGTGGTGATTTTTCTGTAGAATTTACCGCTAAGTAGTTGTGCTTTTAGCAGACCGTATTTTTAAAATATGTCAAATGTCTCAAAGTTATTAACCCTGTGTTTGTAATCACATTGCCATGTGCTGAAACTTCGTGACTGTGATAACTTTATTTGTAAGAATTCTTATAACTGTCGCAAATGTCGATCTAACATTATCGAAGCTTAAACTGATAAATAAACTAATTCAGGAGGGAGTGGGGCAAGAACAGTTAACTAGCACTGATATTAATTGAAAAAGGAATTGAAAAATATATAACCTAGGAGATGAGGAGATGTAATAAACACTTGTGCGGAAAAGAAATAAATAAAGATTGAATTCCAGCAAATGACAATAAGTTTACTAGCATGAAATTATTTCATTATAGATACGTCATGATAATAAATGTTATATGGCAGGGGCCAGTTCGAACATTTTGCACCAGGCCTGTGCGTTATCTTTCTATGAATTGTATAACGAAATAGAATTAATTCTTATAAAACTTTGCTCTTTTCATTGCAATTCCGGTTACTTAATTTATACAGCCATTGCTGTGCAAGACTTACTTATAATTCGTCTTTGATTCCACAGCGGAAACACGGTTCACTCTTTCATTTAAATTACTCTGGACGCATATCGGAGGAAGATATTAAAATGGGTTTTAGAGATATTCATATGGCCTTCATCTGGCTCAAAACAATGTCAAGGAGACTGACAATGTAAAAATAACGATATAAATGTGTGCCTCCATAAATATATCCTGACAAATTTAGCGACTGTTAGCTTCTCGAGAACTCTTATCTGTGGTTGATTAATTTACGTAACTGGTGGACGACTTTCGGTCAGCTGCTGGACCATGAAATTCTACTGGTGCAGAAGAAGAACACAGCAAACAGTCCTAAAACGCTGATTGGATTTTTAATATAAATAAATGCAAAAATTCATTTCCGGGACGTGGAAAATTCTATGTACGCCGTCTCTAAAACAGGCTACAACAACATACTAGAAAAACCACTGCTCTTTAAAAGGTTAACGACAGTTCAGCTTTCACGGACGTAACTATTTGTATAACCAAATTGGTCTCTTACTCCAGCCATCAACAGTAAGTTAAGTATCTCATTCTACTTAAGCCATTATCGTGTTAAGTTGTGTCGTACTAAAATTTGAGGTCCTCGTGGCGGAGTTTACAGAGACAGGCATCTTTGTGTCGAACTGTTTTCCTGAATTTTAGTGTTTATGCAATTTCCCTTGGACAGCATTATGGAATTAAACATAAATATTGATGGGATAATCACGCAAAGAAAAATTTGTAAGATTATTACACTAGATGAGAAAATAAATATTCTAGATAAGTTACGAGGTGAAATGAGCACAGCAGCAGTTGGTCTAACGTTCCATATTTATTTTATTTTAAAGCCTAACTTTCCGTTGACATCCTACTTTAAAGCTTACCTTTTCTGTAATACTTTATAAAATCGCATAATTTATTCATAATTACAGTATATTTGTGATTTTTATAGTTACGTTGACTTTCCACAGCCGCGTTCATGCATCCCCAATAATCAAATACAAATTTAATTTTGTTCCAACGCGGATTTACCTTCTTAAAACGTGAAACTTAAATATGGCGAGGGTTTATTGTATAGTCGTTACATGACTAGTAACATACAAAGTTATAACTGTGTTTGATAAATAGGTCGTTTATATACCAAAGATTAAGTTCAGGTTATTGAAATGCTGCACATTTTCTAAATAAAAGGACATTATTCTGTTTTAAATTCTAATAGCTCATTCACCATGGCGACTAGGCTAGAATTCTCTCTTTGCCACGACTTGCGACCCACCCAGTCCCCGATCCAATGGAAACGTAGGTGAATCTAATCATTCACCATAACCGGTAGGTTTCGAGTTCAAATCTCGGACGGGATTTTGCTGTAAATTCGAGACAACCTGTGAATACATTCCATGAAATTCAAAGCGGTGTCTGGACCGCAGCAATTTCTCTCCACCCGTGTTGTTCAGCAAGAAGCCACGACCTGCATCAGACGTGTCTTTATTTATTCATCAAAAAATTGACAGATTTCAGAGGACCATTTCGCCATGATTTCGATATCCGCGTCTGTGAATTGATCTATATTTGGTATATGCTATTTCATTCCTTCACTAGTGAATGACGCTGTGAATTAAACCTAATTAATTTCGCTTCTCGCAAATCACGTGTGTCGGAACGCCTTAACTGGTGTCGTCGGAGACTCCTTGAGGATCTGTAACTTCGTGTAGGCCCAAGCCGTGTAAGGCCTACAGTTGAATGTTCGCAGGACAGCCCTTTCGTCGACCACTTCCGTTCATATACACAGAGTCCTAATTATGATTATGAAATCTAGGAGTTCCGAGTTCAAATCCTGGACCTGGAAACAGGCTATTGTGGCTGAGGTTTCTCCTGG